GCGGGGAGGGGGCCGTGCCCCATGGGGGGTCTAGGAGCAGCTCTGCACAGATCCCCGGCCGGGCTGTGGGGCCAGAGGAAAGGAGGCCTGGCACGTCTCAGGGCGCTGCCTGGGCTAAGGGCCACAGTGGCCAGCGCCAGGCGTCTCTGGGGCAGGTGGGGCGTCCTGTCCCAGCACGTTTCAAAGCCAGAGCCAACCTGGAGACCCGCTCCCTGCAGGTGCGAGGGCACCAGGGGCGGGGGCCCAGCGGCTGCAGAGCCCGGTGGAGGGAAATCAGCCCAGAGCCCCATCAGAGCCAGTGGGTTTTGGGGTTACAGCAGCAGACAGTGGCCAGCGCCAGGCGTCTCTGGGGCAGGTGGGGCGTCCTGTCCCAGCACGTTTCAAAGCCAGAGCCAACCTGGAGACCCGCTCCCTGCAGGTGCGAGGGCACCAGGGGCGGGGGCCCAGCGGCTGCAGAGCCCGGTGGAGGGAAATCAGCCCAGAGCCCCATCAGAGCCAGTGGGTTTTGGGGTTACAGCAGCAGGAGGGCGGCCAGGCCTCCTCGGTTGTCTCTGACTTGGAGCGGGAAGTGAGGGGTGGTCGCAGCAGCTGCTGGCTGGGAAATGTGACTCAGTCCCAGGCTCTCCCCTCCCACACAGCCCTCGGTTGTGCCATGGGGCTGCCTGGGCCTTGCTCTGCCCCGGATGTGGGTCACTGCGGGGGGTGCCGGGCCCCCTGAGAACGTCATGACCCTGCAGCAGTCGCCTGTTGGCTGTGGAGCGGAGAGGGGCTGCGCTGTGGGGCCTGCAGGCCTGCCTGGGGCTGGCTCATCATGTGGGGCGCTGCCCTGCCCTTCCTCTGCTTCCTCCTTGGTGAGTGTCGGCCTGGCCACTGGGGAGAGAACCCAGGAGTCCCGGCTCCACGGGCTCTACCCACTAGACCTCGCTCCCCTCCCACCAGAACCGGGGAGAGAACCAGGCCCAGGAGTCCAGGCTTCCCGGGCTCTACCCACTAGACCTCGCTCCCCTCCCACCAGAACCGGGGAGAGAACCAGGCCCAGGAGTCCAGGCTTCCCGGGCTCTACCCACTAGACCTCGCTCCCCTCCCACCAGAACCGGGGAGAGAACCAGGCCCAGGAGTCCAGGCTTCCCGGGCTCTACCCACTAGACCTCGCTCCCCTCCCACCAGAACCGGGGAGAGAACCAGGCCCAGGAGTCCAGGCTTCCCGGGCTCTACCCACTAGACCTCGCTCCCCTCCCACCAGAACCGGGGAGAGAACCAGGCCCAGGAGTCCAGGCTCCCCGGGCTCTACCCACTAGACCTCGCTCCCCTCCCACCAGTCCCAGGGACAGAACCAGGAATCCAGGCTCCTCGGACTCTACCCACTAGACCTCGCTCCCCTCCCACCAGAACCGGGGAGAGAACCAGGCCCAGGAGTCCAGGCTCCCCGGGCTCTACCCACTAGACCTCGCTCCCCTCCCACCAGTCCCAGGGACAGAACCAGGAATCCAGGCTCCTCGGACTCTACCCACTAGACCTCGCTCCCCTCCCACCAGAACCGGGGAGAGAACCAGGCCCAGGAGTCCAGGCTCCCCGGGCTCTACCCACTAGACCTCGCTCCCCTCCCACCAGTCCCAGGGACAGAACCAGGAATCCAGGCTCCTCGGACTCTACCCACTAGACCTCGCTCCCCTCCCACCAGAACCGGGGAGAGAACCAGGCCCAGGAGTCCAGGCTCCCCGGGCTCTACCCACTAGACCTCGCTCCCCTCCCACCAGTCCCAGGGACAGAACCAGGAATCCAGGCTCCTCGGACTCTACCCACTAGACCTCGCTCCCCTCCCACCAGAACCGGGGAGAGAACCAGGCCCAGGAGTCCAGGCTCCCCGGGCTCTACCCACTAGACCTCGCTCCCCTCCCACCAGTCCCAGGGACAGAACCAGGAATCCAGGCTCCTCGGACTCTACCCACTAGACCTCGCTCCCCTCCCACCAGAACCGGGGAGAGAACCAGGCCCAGGAGTCCAGGCTCCCCGGGCTCTACCCACTAGACCTCGCTCCCCTCCCACCAGTCCCAGGGACAGAACCAGGAATCCAGGCTCCTCGGACTCTACCCACTAGACCTCGCTCCCCTCCCACCAGAACCGGGGAGAGAACCAGGCCCAGGAGTCCAGGCTCCCCGGGCTCTACCCACTAGACCTCGCTCCCCTCCCACCAGTCCCAGGGACAGAACCAGGAATCCAGGCTCCTCGGACTCTACCCACTAGACCTCGCTCCCCTCCCACCAGAACCGGGGAGAGAACCAGGCCCAGGAGTCCAGGCTCCCCGGGCTCTACCCACTAGACCTCGCTCCCCTCCCACCAGTCCCAGGGACAGAACCAGGAATCCAGGCTCCTCGGACTCTACCCACTAGACCTCGCTCCCCTCCCACCAGAACCGGGGAGAGAACCAGGCCCAGGAGTCCAGGCTCCCCGGGCTCTACCCACTAGACCTCGCTCCCCTCCCACCAGTCCCAGGGACAGAACCAGGAATCCAGGCTCCTCGGACTCTACCCACTAGACCTCGCTCCCCTCCCACCAGAACCGGGGAGAGAACCAGGCCCAGGAGTCCAGGCTCCCCGGGCTCTACCCACTAGACCTCGCTCCCCTCCCACCAGTCCCAGGGACAGAACCAGGAATCCAGGCTCCTCGGACTCTACCCACTAGACCTCGCTCCCCTCCCACCAGAACCGGGGAGAGAACCAGGCCCAGGAGTCCAGGCTCCCCGGGCTCTACCCACTAGACCTCGCTCCCCTCCCACCAGTCCCAGGGACAGAACCAGGAATCCAGGCTCCTCGGACTCTACCCACTAGACCTCGCTCCCCTCCCACCAGAACCGGGGAGAGAACCAGGCCCAGGAGTCCAGGCTCCCCGGGCTCTACCCACTAGACCTCGCTCCCCTCCCACCAGTCCCAGGGACAGAACCAGGAATCCAGGCTCCTCGGACTCTACCCACTAGACCTCGCTCCCCTCCCACCAGAACCGGGGAGAGAACCAGGCCCAGGAGTCCAGGCTCCCCGGGCTCTACCCACTAGACCTCGCTCCCCTCCCACCAGTCCCAGGGACAGAACCAGGAATCCAGGCTCCTCGGACTCTACCCACTAGACCTCGCTCCCCTCCCACCAGAACCGGGGAGAGAACCAGGCCCAGGAGTCCAGGCTCCCCGGGCTCTACCCACTAGACCTCGCTCCCCTCCCACCAGTCCCAGGGACAGAACCAGGAATCCAGGCTCCTCGGACTCTACCCACTAGACCTCGCTCCCCTCCCACCAGAACCGGGGAGAGAACCAGGCCCAGGAGTCCAGGCTCCCCGGGCTCTACCCACTAGACCTCGCTCCCCTCCCACCAGTCCCAGGGACAGAACCAGGAATCCAGGCTCCTCGGACTCTACCCACTAGACCTCGCTCCCCTCCCACCAGAACCGGGGAGAGAACCAGGCCCAGGAGTCCAGGCTCCCCGGGCTCTACCCACTAGACCTCGCTCCCCTCCCACCAGTCCCAGGGACAGAACCAGGAATCCAGGCTCCTCGGACTCTACCCACTAGACCTCGCTCCCCTCCCACCAGAACCGGGGAGAGAACCAGGCCCAGGAGTCCAGGCTCCCCGGGCTCTACCCACTAGACCTCGCTCCCCTCCCACCAGTCATCTTGGGGGGCTGATGTGGTTAGGGATCTGGGGTGCAGTCAAGTTGAATCTTGGCTCCCTATCTGCCTCTGCTGTTTGGTAACAAAATTGCACCCCAAACCTGAGTCTTAGGGTAACCAGAGATTCCTGGTTTCATGGCCAATCCGAAGGACTTTCTCCCATTTAGGGGTGAATGTAAAAGGCAGTAGTTTGGGGGGCTCACATTCCCCTTAGGGGGTTGTTTTTGGGGGGTCTGAGCCCTGGAGAGGGGGACTCTGGCACCAGCTCAGGGGGTGCAGAATTCAGGAGGGGGAGGGCAGGCTTCGTGGGGAAACTCCAGATCGTCAGAGGGACATGCCAGATCCTGGGGCAATGAAAAGAGCTGGTGAGCGCCAGAGCCAATGCTGAGGAAGCGCTAACTTTTGGTGTGCTGCCCTGCCCAAAGACACCCGCCCTTTTCCCCTCACCAGATCCTATGAGAGCAGCTAAGGATTTGGGACTTTAAGCGGTTTGACTTCTCTCCAGCTTTCCTATTAAAACAAGTGGGGCCTCTTTGACTCCAGTGTTGCTTTATTGTGACTTTCAGCACTCCCCTACTGTGCCCCCATGCTATGCAGCTCAGTACCTCTCTATAGGGCGCCAGCTCCAATCCAGCACTAGAGTGGGGGCTGGCTGGCTCAGATGGCAGGAAAGGGACAGTCTTTACCATCTAGGGGACACCAGCACCTTAGCAATCTTATCTACAGAGATGGCTCACCTGGTACTGAGATGCAGCCACCTCTGGGGTGAGGCAGCAGAGTAACAAACACACATAACACCTCATGACGATGGCTCATCTTATGCAGAGAGGCATCTGCCTCTGAGGAGACTTGTGGCAAATAACCTTTATTAAACTTGAAATCATATCAAACACTTCAACGCCAGCCAACTTAATCTGGGAAATTCCCAGTGGAAAAGCTTTGCTAATGTGGAAATTGTATCAATAGCTTTAACCAGGAACAGCTAGCAATCAAGAAACCTCCCAGTGAAAAAACCTTTTACTACTGACCTGGGACCAGTAACAAGAAAAGAGAAAAACAAAGACACATTCACAAGTTAAAATTTTCTTTAAAATTGAAACAGGACAAATTTCAATACAGCAAAAAGCAACTTTGGAAATGTCCAGCCAAAACACTTTGTTAATATCCACCCAATAAATTTAACGGAAAAAATAGCAGGTAAGGAAATGTCCAAGCAAACAACGTTGTCAAAGCTGAAATTGTGTCAATGAGAATAAGACCCAAGAAGGAAACTCCCAATGAAATTCCCAATTGACTCCCCCCTTCCCAGCAGCTAGCTGATCCCACTTCTCCCACCACAGACACTATCCTCACCTCGCCCCAATGTGTGGGACATGGGGCCTTTCCCCTCTAGGAGGCGCTGGCTGTGATCAGGCGCAGGGTAGGGATCTCAGGGTGTGTGCTGGGGGGCATGGAGAATTTGTTAAGATGGTAAACGCACAATCAGGATCAGGGGCTTTGTAACCTGCTCAGCCAGAGTCAAGCCAGGCCCGTGACCTGGGGATTGCAGCAGACTGAGGCGCTGCAGATGAGCGCTCTCCTGAGACCCGGGTGTAGCCAGTGCTGGAGAGCTGGGGGGCTGCATGTTTGCAGGGCTCAGAGCAGGTGACATGGAGATGAACAGTGAAGGCCACATGGATTGGACACCCTGGCACCAGCCGCTTGGATGCAGAATGGGCGCTGGACCGAGACGGGGCTTTAGTAATTGGCTCCTCCCTTCTTCAACTCACTGTAAACATCCATCCTCTGACCCTGGAGTTCCTACAAGGGAAGTGGAAAGAGCATCAGAGAGGTTCTTGGGAGCCGGGACTGCTGGGGAGGACAGTAAGGTCTTGGCAATGGATGGACCCGGCACCCCTAGAACAAAGGCAGAATAAGGGGGGCCCAGAATGTAGGGCAGTCGGGGGGCTCCTTCAGTGGCTAAGAGACCAGTCTTCAGAGCCAGAGATGAAGAGTTCAAGCCCCACTCTCACCCAACAGGGACCTGGCACCCTTGGGACATAGGACAGACCCAGAATGCAGGGAGGTCTGGGGGATCCTCAAGAGCCTAATGGATAAGGTATCCTCCCCCAATGGTCAAGGGTTCAAGCCCCAACCACCACCAGCTTCACCATGGATAGATCTAGATCTAGCACCCCGGGAAGCAAGGGAGATCTAGAATGCTGGGAGGCTCCTCCCCTAGTAAGGTCTAGAGGCTAAAGCAGCATAAGGGCTGGGAGCCGTCACTCCTGCAATTTGTTCCCAGAGCTAGGAAGGGAGAGGGGTCAAGTGGCTAATAGGGGAGGGGAACTGCTGGGAGTCAGGATTCCTGGGTTCTATTCCACGCAGGGGAGTGTGGCCTGGGCTAGTGGCTAGAGCTAGTCAGGTGTCCTGGCTCTATCCCTCCCCTCACTCCGCCACCACTTCAAAGCAAATCACATTCTGATCTGTGCCTCCATATATAAACAGGGCTAACTCTGTTTTCCTCCCCTCTCCAGGCGGGATCTGGGGGCAGATAGTAAGTGACAGGGCTAATGATCATTATCATTAGTATCAGTTGGGAGCCAAGACTCCTGCCAGCTAGTGGTTGCAGCTGAAGGTGAATCCCCATGCACTCTGGTCAATGCAGGGATACTGACACACGGCCAAGACAACCTGCATCACCCACTGTGGAGGCTGGGGCCAGGGGAGAGAGCCAGGTCATGCTCACCTGGTACGGTGACTCCGCCTCCGGGCCGTGGGACTTCTTGACTTCCTCTGGGGACGGAGAGAAAGAAATGTCTGAACAGGCAGTGAGCAGGGACAGACAAACAAGGGCAGAGCAGGGCTCAACCTGCCAGCAGGCAGCAGTAGAGACCCCCTCCCCCCGGACAGTCCCACTCAACCTTGGAGCCCCTTTCTTGCTGGGAGCCCCCCCCATCCCAGCTGTTTCCTTCTTGTCCCCTCCCCTCACATCTGCAGCCCCCCCAGCCCTGACAGCTCTCCCCACATCCTGGCTAGCCCCCCAATTCCTCCCCTGTCCTACACCCTGAGAGCTCCCCATGTCCCTATGCCCTCCATGCCCCCAAACCCATCCTTGGGCCCTGCCCCACACCCTGTATGGTCCCCTCCCCCATCCCCATCCCCAATTCCATCTCCTGGGCCCTGCCCTACACCACATATACCCGGTGTGGTGCCCATTGCTCCTCTGCGGCCGTGGATCTTGCTGGCCAGGCAGTAGACAGCCAGGGCGATGAGGAGCGTCAGCAGCAGGTCCCCCACAACGAGACCTGCGATCACCCCCCCGCTCATCTGAGGGCAGCTGGTGCAGTCTGTGGGGGAGAGACACATGGGCATGGAGCAGCACAGCCATGGGGTGAGGGAGGAGATGTGGGGCTTCAAGGAAGGGATGGGGTCTTGGGGGGGGGAGGATGGGGCAGTAGATCTTCACTTGTTCTGAGATTTAAAAAGTGCTCTTGGGTGTAAAAAGGTTGGAGATCACTGCTGCAGGTGCTATCTGGACTTAGCTCCCCTTTGTGTGGTTTCAATCCACATGAGCTCTGTTCGGTTCCTACTGCCAGGCTTCTCGCAAGGTTCAGATGCTCTGCTTTAGAATTTGGCATTGGCTTTTTTCCCCCCACTTGTAGGGAAGATTCCTAGGGTTAACTCAAAAACCCATTTGTGTGTAATGCTGAAATGAGGCATGACAATGAGTACCTTGTGTTGAGCCATATCATCTGATCCCTCTCCTTTTCTACATACTCACAAGCAATGCTATAATTAACATGGACACTGGGAGAATTATCGCTGAGGAGAGGAGTTAGTACCCACAGAGTAGTGCTCGCCTCAGAGAGATTGCTTCACATTCTGCAAATGCAGGCAATTAACCCAAGAGCACTGACCTCAGTGGTCATTTCTGAGGTGCTCTCAGCAAATATTTAGAGACTGACTTTTAAAAAAAAAAGTCAAACAGATTTTGAAGAACAAAAAGCCAACATGAAAAAGCTTCCACAATACAATGCCTCGGTTTACTAACCCAATCTGAAGTCTGGCATTTAGACGGGCTATAAATCCCCATATTTCAACCCAACAGTCAATAACTTTGATTGGGAAGAAATGTCCTTCTATGACCACAAAGTTGTTTACTACAGGGCTCCTTGCAGCTTCTTCTGAAGTCCTGTATCTCTGATAGTAGCCAGATCCTAGATATAATGGTCTACTAGATATAATCTGATCTACTAGGGCAATGCCTGTGTTTCCACGTCACAAGCCCTCCCTCCTCCCCATGATAATGAAGACAAAAAAAATCAAGCAAGTTTAACAATATTTCACTATTACTACTGTAGGTTACAGTCAAACAGAAAAATGGGATACTGCTTTTCAAATGAATTCGTTTTATCATGACTTTTGTTCTGTAAAGCATTGGACTGATCTTGACTTGGACACAGTACTTTATATATTTCTTTCTTTTCTTTGTTGCTTAATTCCCATTTTACCAATGATCAAAGCAACACAGCGTGTTGATAATCTTATCTGAGGGCAGACACAGAGTCAGCAGCAAACCTAGCTAGTTCAGAAGTTACTGACTCTATTTTTGCACTCAATCCACCAGAATAACTGCCCTTCTCTTAGTAGGTCATGATATTATCTACACTAACACAGCTGACATGTTGCATCACCAGGAACGTGAAAAAAATGTCTCTTTCACACGTAAAACTTACATCAACTTAAAATGTAAATGTGTCTCATAAACCTTTACCTTTTCCCTCTGCTGCCATGTTTCCTCCCCTTGCTCCATCAGCTCCCCTGGTGCCTGCTGCCCCCAACCTCTCACCCTCCTCTGCTGTCCTGACTCCTGCCCTTCTCACTGCCCTCAGCCCTCCTGCGACCTGCCCCCCTCCACCAGCC